AGTGCAGTATGGCAGTAGTCAATATGGTCAAGGTACTGGTCCTGTGTTTCTTGGATACGTGCATTGTGCTGGATTGGAAGATTTATTATTTGAATGTCAAAGGAGCGTGTTTACTGTTGTTAATTCACAGTGTTCTAGTCATTATTATGATATTGGGTTAAAGTGTGAACGTAAGTTTTTCTATTAATAACATAATGTATCACTATACTTGTAGCTATCTGTGAGCATGGCACTGTAAGGTTACAGGGAGGAACTTTGTCTACTGGTCGTGTGGAAGTATGTGTTAATGGTACCTGGGGAACAGTTTGCAGTGATTTCTGGGACAATAATGATGCTAGTGTCATATGTAATCAGTTAGGATATTCACCTTATGGTAGGTTTGTCGTTTCTACCAAATAATAATGATACATGTAATTATTATAACTAAAATGATGTAAAACATTAAGGGACTCTGCCCCCTAGCCATACTCATAGATATAGACAAATCACTCGTACAAACTAACTTGATCATTAAGGGCTTCACTTACTACATACATTTTTAGTAACAGTTTATGTTTAACCTGATAATAGGTTTGGTAGAAATGTGCTTGTCAGTGTCTTTACTATGGGCTATTCTAGTAAATAATGCCAGTTGTTATTTACTATCTATGGCTTATATTAAAGGATTGAAACAATTTTGGTCCGTTTGATAAATTCAATTCCATATAATCCATGTTGTGGCATAACAGTAATAACTTAATTATTATTGCTAAAATATAAGAATCTCTACTTGCTCATAATTATAGCCTTTTTACTTATTGCAGGAGCTATAGCTGTCTCAGGATATTATTCCACTTCAGTATGGCCACATCATATTATCGATTTAAACTGTACTGGAACTGAGGCTGGAATTTTGAACTGTTCATATAATGGAGGGCATCACACTTGCCTTACCAATAATGATGCATTGGTTGTGTGCCAAAGTAAGCATCTTATTTTGATTCAGTGCACTATATTGTCATGATATTATAGGTGTTGATATCCAAAAGGACGATTGTGTTGATGGCGATATAAGACTGGCAGGTGGCCAAACAGAATATGAAGGACGAGTTGAAATATGTATCAATAAAGTATGGGGGACTATCTGTGGTTATGGTAGAAATAGTTGGTCAAGCTATGATAGATGGAGTACACTAGAGAGTAATGTAGTGTGTACACTATTGGGCCACATGGAACTAGGTATGAATAGCAATTTACAGTATAGAATTAATGAGTATCTAACAGTTATGAGCCACAACTGCCATATTGTTCCAATATTTTGTTGTTTGAAAGTTTGCTATTTTTTAAAAAAGTAAATAATTGTCATGTCAGCACATGGTGTTATGATGTATTACCATGTATGATTAATGATAATTAGTTTGTCATTCAATGACTACTAATGAAGATGCCAATTTTTATACACAACAAAAATTGGGGCTATATATGATATGCTGTGTTGTGTATAATTGAAACTACTAAATAATGTTCTATCCCTTTTTGTGTGTATTTGTATGTTTTTATACATTTGTATATCTTGTGAACCTAACTTGCAAGTGCTTAGCAGTTGTTTTAATGCATATAGCAGAATCTGAGTTTTTAAACTTGTGCATAGTATGATTCTTTAATAATTTCATTGATATATTTCTTATTCATTTTCATAACGTA